GAGGTGGGCAAGGGCAGTAGGGACAGGGGGAGTAAGTCCTCCTGTTCTACTTATTAAGGAATATTTACAGGGTTAGCTGACAGATAGAATTGAAACAAGCTGTCTGAATGGTGCTTTGTTACTGTACGCTTAAATCCATGGCCTCTGCTCAAAGGTAGTGTGGCTGTAGCTGCGAGTCAAGGAGTCTTCAAAGCTGAAAAAATGGTTTCAGCAATGAGGCTGTAACTTTGTGTGGACTGAAAAGCTTAGAAGTTTGTTTGGTTGAGCTGCAGGGATGAGTGCTTGAAAATGAAAGTAAATGCAAAGCTTTGCTTACTGGTGTGGAACCACTGCCTCCCTGTGTGACCTGACCTCCTTCCCTCTACTCTTCAACTTCAGGTGCTTTAAGGAAAAAGATGACTGGGATTGGGCACAGGTCTCCGCTTAAGGAACGGATGAAAGGCCATGCCCATGTGTCTAAATATGCTGGGGGAACTTCAGGAAGAGGAAGGAGTCAAACTTTTATGGCTCTATTGATTTCTTTGCTCATTCAAAGAAGTCATCATTCAATGGGGGTGCGGTATCCAGAGTCAACTGATGGGGTTTGGGAAAGGTTTATAGTAAGGGAAGAAAGCTAATGTGACTGTGGGTGGGGCCCTTTGTTGTGTAGTTTTGTGACTTTTATTGCTAAGTGTACATTTGGTGTTGATATTTTTATATGCTTGTTTTGTGAACACCCGTAAGTGCCAAGTGGGCAGGATTGGAAGGAGCTGCGTATAAAGGAGTACTTTGGGGACCTTAAACTCTAGTGATTCCTTTGAGATACAGGTTATTATGACTGATGTTTTTGCAGTATATGTAGAGAACTCATTCAACTCAATCAGAAGATTATAAGCCCGCTATTTTTTCCCAAAAAAGACAAAGATTTCAGTAGGCAGTTGTCAGAGGAAGATACACAAATAGACAGTATGCACCTGAGAAGATGCACAACAGCATTAGTCCTCCAGGAATTGCAAATCGAAACCACACTCACTAGCATGGCTAAAATTTGTGTTTGGGGTTTTTGTTTTGGTTTGGTTTTTTGAGTTTTTTTTGAGACCAGGTCTCACTCTGTTTCCTGGGCTAGAGTGCATTGATGTCCTCATAGCTCACAGCAAACCACGGGGCTCAAAGGGTCTTCCTGCAGCAGCCTCAGGGGGACACTAACTACCTCACCTGGCTAATTTTTGTATTTTTTGTAGAGATGGGGTCTGCTGTGTTGCCCAGGCTGGTCTTGAATTCCTGGCCTCACGAGATCCTCCCATCTCAGCTTACCAAAGTGCTAGGATTACAAGCTTGAGTCCCCATATCCAGCCAATAATTGCTAAAATTACAAAGGCCAACAGAGTGGCAATACCATTGTTGCTGAGGCTATGAAGCTCTCATACATTGCTGGTGTGTATATAAGGTGGTGCAATCAAATTGGAAGGTAGTTTGTTAATTTCATGCAAAATTAAAAATAAACTTACCTTATCTAGCAACACTTCCTTTGGGCATTTATTCAAAATAAATGAAAATATATTCATAAAAAACTTGAACTTGGATGTTCATAGCTGCATTTTTCTTTTTTGAGACAGAGTCTCAAGCTATCCCCCTGGGTAGAGTGCTGTGGCATCACAGCTCACAGCAACCTCCAACTCCTGGGCTCAAGCGAGTCTCCTGCCTCAGCCTCCCAAGTGGCTGGGACCACAGGCACCCGCCACAACGCCTGGCTATTTTTTTGGCTGCAGCCATCATTGTTGTTTGGTGGGCCCAGGCTGGATTCGAACCCGCAACCTTAGGTGTATGTGGCTGGCGCCTTAGCCACATGAGCCACAGGCGCCGAGCCACCTGCATTTTTCAAAATAGTTCTAAACTAGAAACATTCTCAATGTCCATTAATAGGTGAATGCATTTACAAATTGTGGGAGATTTGAACAGTGCAATAATGCTAATAGTGAAAAGGAACACAACTATTAATAAGTACAAAAATAAATCTTAAAAAATATGCTGAGGCTGGGTGCTGTGGCTTACACATCTATAATCCTAGCGCTTTGGGAGGCCAAGGTGGGAGGATCACTTGAACCCAGGATTTAGAGACCAGCCTGGCAATGGCAAGGCCCTGGTTCTCCAAAAACTTAAAAAATTACCCAGTTGTGGTGGTGTGCGCCTGTAGTCCCAGCTACTTGGCAGGCTGAGGCAGGAGGATCACTTGAACCTAGAGGTGGAGAATGCAATGAGCCAGTGTCAATGGTGTCAATGCCTCTGCACTCTACCCTGGGCAACACCAGAGTGAGACTCCCTCTCTCAAAAAAATACATGCTGAGAGAAGAAAAACCTCATATTATATGATTGCTTTATGTCATGAGTATATATATAATACAGTATTTCACTTACATAAAGTTGTAGAATGAACAAAAAAGGCAAAACTAATCTGTAATGATAAAACAGACCAGTAGTTGTATAGGGTGAGATTTCAAGATAGGAGGTTGTCTTCTTAGGAAAGTATCACAAGAATGGAAGAAAAAGTATCCAATGCACACAGCCCTATTATGAAACTAATTCATAGCTTTCATATGAAAGCTATAACCTAACTATAGCCTAAGAATATGGGGAGGGGAGAAGGGGAGGAGATGGGGGGATGGATGGAGGGTGATTGGAGGGATCACTTCTATGGTTTATTTTACAAGGGTACAAGTGAATCTTTCTAAGAGTAAGAATATAAATGTCTTAACACAATAACTAAGAAAATGACACAAAGGCTATGTTAATGTGTTTGATGAAAATATTTCAAATTGTATATGAAAACGCCACACTGTACCCCATGATTGCATTAATGTACACAGCTATCATTTAATAAAAAAAAAAAAAGATAGGAGGTTGACTATAAGAGTAGATTTATTTACAGTAGATTTATTTTTTTCTCTATTTAAAAAACACCAATGGTGGGCAGCACCTGTGGCTCAAGGAGTAGGGCACCACCCCATATGCTGGAGATGGCGAGTTCAAACCCAGCCTTAGCCAAAAACTGCAAAACAAAAAACAAAACAAAACAAACACCAGTGGTAAAAATTTAAGACAATATAATTGGGACATTAAAATGATTAACTTTGGCATTATAAAAACCTGAGTTTACATCCTGGTTCTACTATTTATTAGCTCTGTGACCTTGGGCAAATTATTTGACCTTTCTAAATTTCCTCATCTGTAAAATGGGGATGATGGTAATACCTATATCAGAGTTGTTATGAGGATAAATTATGTCATCACTGATGCACAGTAAGCTGTCAGTAATGATGGTTTATTTTGGCAATAGTAGTATTTGCCAATGCTGATAATTATAATTTTCCCCTTATGTGTGTTACTCTTTTTGTTTGTTTGTTTGTTTTTGGCTGGGGCTGGGTTTGAACTGCCACCTCCAGCATATGGGGCCAGCACCCTACTCCTTTGAGCTACAGGCACTGCCCTTTCTTTCTTTTTTTTTTTTTTTTGGAGACAGAGTCTTACTATGTTGCCCTCAGTAGAGTACTGTGACGTCACAGCTCACAGCACCCTCCAACTCTTGGGCTTAAGCCATTCTGTTGCCTCAGCCTTCCAAGAAGCTGGGACTACAGGCACCCGCCACAACGCTGGGCTGTTTTTTTGTTCCAGTTGTCATTGTTGTTTAGCTGGCCCGGCTGGGTTTGAACTCGTCAGCCCTGGTGTATGTGGCCAGTGCCCTACCCACTGACCTCTGGGTGCTGCCTATGTGTGTTACTCTTTTTTTTTTTTTTTTTTGAGACAGAGCCTCAAGCTGTCATCCTGGGTAGAGTGCCATGGCTTCACTGCTCACAGCAACCTCCAACTCCTGGGCT